CCAAGTGGGTCCCTAGGGGACCACTAGAAACTTAGCTTAGCGTTTGACTGGAAGGATCATTCTTCAGGGACTGAATCATGTACAAGGCTAAGCTCACGGTGGGTGTTTGCTCAAGGCTCATTGAGTTGCGCTAAATAAACTCTTGATGTCCTCCAGAAGGCCAGAGTCTCAGCATTTCCCAGAAGGAAGCAGGCAGATTCCTACACTTCACTGTGTAATTTAGTTTTCATTTCCAAACATTAAAGATACATACTTGGCTGTGGTCTGAATGTGTGTGTTCCTCTGAAAACCATAATGTTGAAATTCTAACCCCCAAAATAATGGTATTAGGAAGTGTCACACTTGGGAGGAGATTGGATCATAAGGGTGGAGCCCTCATGAATGGGATTGGTGCCCTTATGAAAGAGCCCCCAGGAGGTCCCTAGCCCCTTTCCCCAGGTGAGGACATGGCAGAAGACAGCCATCTATGAACAAGGAAGGGGGTTCTCACCAGACTCTGAACCCACTAGCACAATGATATTCTACTTGCAGCCTCCAGAGCTGTGAGAAATAAATTTCTCTTGTTTATAAGCTACCCAGTCTGTGCCATTCTGTTATTGCTGCCTGAGTGGACTAAGATACTACTATGTTTTAGATCACCCAAGGGGAATAAATGTATTTTCATTTCCTAAATGCTTCCTATAGTTTGGGGCTGCAATATGAACAGATGGGAATCTGAAGACAGTATTATCCTCCCTTTTTACCCCACCAGAGCCAGGAGGACCCCCAAGGCACCTCCCTGTCAGCTGTCACCAAGAATTGGCCCATCTTTAAAGAAAGACATCATGCCATTAAAACTCTAATTTAAGATTTTCATCATTTATGGTCAATAATTCATCCACAGTGTGCTCTGAAATATTTTCAGAAATTAACATCAGATTTTCGGTCCATCCTCAGACTATTTGTGTTTTTCTGCATTTTTCACATTTTCTGCAATGAGTACACATTACTTTTGAAAAGAGAAAAAGCAGTCTAAAGTTAAACTTAAATTTAAACCTGGAAAAATGTGATGAAAGTTTATGAGAAGGACCGAATGAGAAGTTTAAAATTCATTGTGTTTACTTTTAATTGAAATTATATTTCCTTGTACTGTTCAGGGTATTTACTGGCTTTTGGGGGTGTAGACAGATGGAGGAGGAATATGATTAGTAAAGTATGCTTAAATTGTGATATTACAGTTCTAATATTCTGAAGTGGCATATTGATACAGCACTTATACGACAATTCTTAACAACTATTGTTTGATAAGAGTGAAAATAATAAAAATATAGGTTGAACCATATGGAATTGTTGGCACATGAGCTTTTCTGACCTAAAACGTGGTGATTTCATGTGATTTGACCTACAACTTAGTAAACTCTGTTTTCCTAGATGATGTCCATTGGATTGGTTTAAATATATTATTTTTCTCTCAGCCACAAAAACTAAAAACCAGTGCTCAGCCTTAGCCTATTCTCGCATATCCCAACATCTTACCAGAAATTACAAGGGCCAGTGATCACACTTGGCTACATTTTTAGAGGCAGTTCCTTTAAAATTCCAACCCTTTTGTCCTACCCAGACCAACAAAGTCAAAATCTCTGTGAACTGGGACTTGGGTAGCCGTATTTAAAACAAAACAAAACAAAAACACTTTATTGGGGTATAGGTGACAGACAAGAAACTGTACATTTTTAAAGTGAACAATTGGAGAAGCTTGACAAATGTGTTTACTCATGGGACTATCACCACAATCAAGATAATGAACATGTCTATCGCCTCAAAGGTCACCTTTCGGGCCGGCCAAGTGGCTCGTTGGTTAAGAGTTGGCTTGGGAGCCAGAGCTCTGAGCAGTAAGGCCCCGGTTCAGATCCCACATGGGCGAGTGACGCTGCGCCCTCTACAGCTAAGATGGTGANCCAGCTAGCACTACACCTACAGGCTGACAAACACTAGGCACTACACCTGCAGGCGACAACAGTTGTCTAAAAGGGCCAGCCTCCACCGCAAACACTGGCAAGATGACAAGCACTCTGCATCCTGCATAGAAAAATATGAAACCCCAGCTAAACAGCAACCCGCTGCAGCTGTCTATTCCAGACTCTGCCCCCAGCAACTCCTCTGCCGGTGCTTCTGTCCTTACTACCTGTGGCAGCCGTCTTCCCTAGACACTGCCATGGGCATCCTCATTGCCCAACTTTCCATAAACCTTTTCTGGCTTTCCTACTTCTCTGAGTCTCGTGAGTTCTTTTACATTCTGCAAATGACCAGGGGTATTCTAAACCAATACAACTACTGCTTTCTCAGTTGCGAGACCTGCCATGCTCCCTATTTCCTATTCCACAAGTTGGAAATGTGCTTCCTACATACACTCACACACTTACCACCCTTTTTACAGTAGCTCTTCCAACCCCCTTTCCTTTTATGGCCCTACCCTGCTTTATTTTCTTGCCGCTATCTAAAATTGTATCCCTTATTCACATGCTCAACTGTGCAATCTCCCTCTCTGAAATGTAAGCTCCATGAGAAAGGAACTTTTTCTGTTTTGCTCACCACTGTGGCTGGTAAAAGAGTATCTAGCACAGAACAGTTGCTCAAGAAAACTTTGAGTCAGGAAAGAACGGATGAATTCACCATCCTGGTGAAGCCAGAAGTGATGTCCTGCAAACACATCACAACAAATGGTGCTCCACACACTCATTACAGTTTACCTCACCTGAAAAGCCTCCCAGTCTGGCATCCGTGTGGGTGAGCCTAGAAACTCCATGGGTCAGCCCAAGCACCCCTCCTCAAAGCCCTGCCCCTCTGGTGAGCACTTTCATTTCATGTTCCTTTCTCTGTGTTTCCACCACCCTGTCAGCCTCTTTGTGCAGCTTGGCCCCTGAGGATTACTAACTGGCTCATTTTATTTACCATTGTCTTATTAATTATCGCCTCTAGTAATTTAAAAACTCCCTAGGGACAGGGAGCATGTTTTAAGCGAATTCTGCATCCTATCCAGCTCACTACACCTTTTCTCAGCACACTCCATCATTCAATAACTAGGGGAATGTAAGCCCATGGGGGCGGGGTCTTTGTGTTTTGTTCTCTGGTGTTTTCCAAGTGCCTAGAACTGGAGCATAGTCCATGCTCAGTCAATGCATATTTGAATACATTTCTTGGTTAACTGAATGTTGTCAGTTGTCTCCAGTTGAAAAACTATTGCGTTCAGAGCAGTGTCGGGGGGTGGGGGTGGGGGACTGCCTAGCATATAGAATTCACTCAGCAAGTTTGTTTTTAAAAAAAAATTAAAATTGTACAGCACTTGAAAAACACTAAATTTAACCAGGAAAATATCTCCAAATTTCCACCACTCTTAAAAACTGCCTTAAACACTGTCAATGGCCTTATTCATATTCAGGAAGCAGTACTAAGGAAGGAGGTAAACTTAGGGTTAAGAGTCTGTTTAAACTAGCTACTTACATGCCAAGTATCATGTTTATTTTGCCTGGATTTAAACCACTGGCCTAACAGGGTAATCCTTTTTCCAATTGCTAGATGAAATGTGTCCAAGGCCAAGAAAATTATGTAGCTTGATTTTTTTTTTTTTGAAATGCAAACTAAGTTATTCAGGGTCTAGAGTTGCAGTAAAAAAAAATTTTTTTATTTTTTAATGTGGTTGCTTCTCTCAGATTTTGCAAAGTAGCTTGGGAACTTTTCTAGGCACTTTTCTGGAGAACAATTCTACCTTTTAGGCTACCTTCAAAAAAAACAACAACTGCCTATCTATCATGTATTTATTCAGCAGAAAGGAATTGAATACCTGACCTATGGATAGAGCAGTGAGAAAGACAGCCTACAAAATATACAAGCAAAATGTATAGTGTCCTAGGTGGTGATTAAGTATTAGATGGAGAAAAATGGAATAAGGAGGTAGATAGACAATGAGACCTGAGGGATGCAGGGGTGTTCAAGTTTAAGATAGATAGATAGATAGATAGATAGATAGATAGATAGATAGATAGATAGATAGATAGATAGATAGATAGATATTTCCACCAAGCATCAGAATGAGGTGAGGAGTTAAACATGCAATTATCTGGAAGAAGAAAGATTCAGGTAGAGAGAGCAGTGAGTGAAAAGGCCCTGGGGCAGAAGCCCGCCTGGGGGATTCTATGGGCTACGGAGGGTGGGGGTGGGGGGAATCACAGCATGGAGTAGGAGAGGGAGGGTGAGCAGGAAGAAGGGGGTGGGTGGGCAGACGTCATTAGGGCCTATGGATTGTCAGAGGGCTGTGGCTTGCCCTCTGAATGGGGTGAAAGGGTGCTGAAGGATTTTGAGCAAAGATGAGACAGGACCTGTCCTAAACAATGTCACCTGCCTATTGTGCTNTCTAGTTTTTCTCAGCTGCTGAGATAGCTAGACAGATAAAAATATTGGGTGCCTTGTTTTCAAGAAAGGCTGATTTAAATTAGCTGTTTAGAGACAATTCAAATGCCTTTGAATGCAATGTTAAGATATGTTCTATGTTTAGAGTGCCATTTTGAAGTTTTTTAATTAGTATCTAATCGAGTGACTGGAAAATTAAATTGGGAATAATATGAATCTGTCAGACTTGAATATGACAGTGGAAGGTAACAAATGGAAGGTTGTTTTTCCATTTTGAACGAAGAGGCCTAATAAACTTAAAGGAAGATTAAAATAAAATATTTGTGGTTTATTAATTAATGATGCATTTTAAAAAACTTTCTGAAAGATTAAGTAGACTTCCAAAATGTCTGATATGTTTAAAAAACAAACTTGATATAGACAACATGTTAGTGTTGTATTGTAATTTCTGAATATTATTTGCTTACAGAAATAAAATAATGGGACCATTGGATAAAAATCTGTAGCATTCATGTTAATAAGTCAACTTGGGGAAGTATTTTGGATAATGGGCTATTTTGTTTAAGTCTCTGTTTTTTATATATACTAATAGATGTTAGCCATTCTGAGTGATTTCATTTTCCTGTTTTTCAGTTTTAAAAAGAACATTTTCACTGCATAAAGCACATGCGATAAAGGATATGGAAAATACTTTTCAGTTGGTGAGAGATATTATACCTCCTCTAACTACCAAGAAGCACAAAGGGCAAGATGGAAGAATAGGCATCGTTGGAGGCTGCCAAGAGTAAGTGACTTGGAAAATGTTGGTATTTAAACAATCAGTCTCTATTATCTGGCTGTCTACCTACCTATCAGCTATCCAGTTGTTCATCCATCTGTCTAGTTGGACCTCAGTAGTCATTTCCAAATGTGGTCTGATATGACACTGAGTATTTTATAATGATGAACTTTTTGTTTGAATAGGAGAAACTACGGGGCCCTGATTGAGCTCTTCAGTGGTGTGTGTCAGTGTTAAGGTTTTGCCTGTAGTCAGGGGATGAGACTATTTTTTCTTATTTTATATTTTTCTGAATTGACTNTAATACTCATAGACTTGCACACTTAAAATTAGTGAATTTTGTTATGTAACTTATACTTAAAAAAAGACAGAGTGAGCACCTACTATGTGCCACGTTCTGGATGCTGAGTAAACAGTACAGAGCAAAAGAAAGCTTTTCCATTGGGGCTAATTTTCTAGTTACGGTGTAAGTAGCTGAAACAGTAAAATCCACCGCCTGCCAATTGGGCAACTTTCTGCCTCAATTATTTTCAATAGTCCCTTTGCCCAAAAAAGGAACGATAAACACAACCCAGACCCTAAACCATTAAGACTCATCTTGATCCCGTAATCTGCCTGGCAGCGAAATTCCAGCGGACAAGCTGGGGCTCAGACCCGGTTGGGCATCCAGCTCGTCAATCATTTGCGAGCATCAATGACTAGTGAAGGTCAGGGGAGGGATGGCGCGAGGCCGAATCCCAGACTCCTGTGAGCTGGAAACCCGCTTCCGGTAGCGGCGCTGAGGCGGTCGGGAGCCCGGAAGTCCGCCAGACGGCTTTGGTTCCGGCGGCAGCGGCCGGGAGCCCGGAAGTCCGCTGATGGCTGTGGGTCCTTGCTGGGTGGCAGTCCGGGCCTGCCGGCGAGGTAAGAGCGATGCCGGCCTTCCTGGACAGGGCTACTCGGGCGGGCGTCGGGGCTGCGGTCGCCGGCGCAGCGGTGGTTGCACTGCTCTCGGCCGCGCTCGCGCTCTACGGGCCGCCGCTGGATGCAGGTACCCGTCCGCGGGCTGCCTGTCCGGGCGGGGAGCTTTCCGGACAGCCTCGGGGCCGGACGTGGCGAGAATAATTGTTAAGGAGTTCTGACTTTTTGTTTTTAGGCATGATAGGTCCAAATGTTCAGAGGAGTACTGAGAGGTTCCTCAGCTTCTGCACCTCACTTTAATCACACCAGCAGCAGAGGGGCTTCTAGGCACCAATTTATTCAGAGTTTTTATTGGTAGCTGTTTGTCTTAAATTCACACACTGGGATTCGTTAGCAAGATTTCTCTTGAGTTTGCGTGAGGTGTCATTATTAGACTGACTTACTGAACTTTTACCAAAAAACAGGTGCTCTAGATCCCTGACTTCCCATCCTAGCTTTAGAGCGTATCTTAGTTAACTTAAAGATTGCTTTTCAGGCGCTCCGCATTTTCCGTTCACATTAATGTAAAGCACGTTTGGCAGAAAGAAACATGGATATCACGGAAAGTTGAAAGCGGCAAGTCATTCAAGAAAACAGCCCAATCCCAGGCTTAAGAAATCTGTGTAATTCTCCAGTCTTCTTTAGCCACANATCACCTCTTAGCTATGCCTAAAGATGTTACCTGTCAGGAAGAAAAGATTTAGCAGTGACAATGGTGAATCAAGAATCCAGAAAGGTTTATGCTCCTCTCATTACAAAGATATAACTCCATAATTGCCTTCTAGGTTTATTTCTAACATCTCCAGCAGCAGTGCTACTTGAATAAAATTTTAAGGATCAGATCTGACTACAGAGCCATCTGATAACAATGATTAGTTCTGGGCTTGTTGCCTTACAGCCTCATCCTCAACTGCCCCCCCACACCAGCCCCTGACCTAACAAGGTCATGAGGGACTGTCTCAGAAAACTGAGACCAGGTGGAATGATATCAGTAAAGCTTCCTCAAGGGAGTGTCCTGGAAAACTGGGACCCAGAGGAATGATGTTGGTTATCTCCCTTAATTCATGGCTGCAGCAGCAGCTGCACCATCCTGGGGGTTGTGTGTGTAAGAGTGCGCAGGCACAGCAGGTGTTGGAGTACAATGGGTCTGGTTGATGGAAACTGGCCTTAGGGCACTTATCACAGGGACTTTAGAAAGAAAGTTTCTTTACTCATTTGAAGTTTCTTAATAAAAGTTTCTCTTTAGTTTGATTAGGTGCTCAGTTCCAGAGAGAAAACTGCAGCCCCCTGGCCTCGTGTCTTAAATCTATCTTTATCTCTTTGTCTCATTTATTTTCTTTCACCCTGTGCCGTCCTCTCTCACTCATCACTGCCTGTGCTGTGCGGGACACAGCATGGGCTAATTTGCAGAGTTTATAGAACTGATTGTCATCCAAAGTTGCTCACACAGAGGTCATTTCAAAACACAGTCATGCTAGAGACAGTAGAGGGCACCCCAGGTAAATAGTATTAAAGTAATCTAAAAAGCAACATCCCAGAATGAAAGGTGGCCTGGAGTATTGGGTATAGTGCCTGATACAACACACTGTGAAATTTCTCTTGCTCAAAGCGAACGTAATATTTTCCATTTGTTTAAGTTCCTAATATTCTATAGACTACTGTCTGTATGGTAGACATTCACCAGATGTGCCTATTTCAATTTAAGTTAAATTAAATGTAAAATTCAGCCCCTCAGTTGCACCACATTTCATGTATTCAACATGTGGCTAGGGGCTACCATATTAGGTAGCACAGATAGAGAACATTTCCATCACTGCAGAAAGTTCTAGTAGACAGCACTGTTGAAGTCTCAGTTTCCATATATATAACACAATAAAAAGGGATCAGAATATTCCATCCCCAAATATGTAACTTTGGCATAAAGATTATTTTGTGCTGAAGGCAATTAAGAAACAGCAGACAGGAATAGCTCTCTGTCTTAAAGCAGGAAATGTATTTCCCTTATGACGGTGTCCCCCTTTCTCATACCAGGAAGGAAAGGACAATCTTTATTACCAGAGATGGTGCCAAGACACGTAGGAATTAACTAAACATTACTGAATAACCTCTAGCTTCCATTAGTTTCCTCATATGTTTACCTTCCCACAATTTACCATCCTTAGAATCCCAAACCTTGTTACTTTTGTCTTGTCACTTGTCTACAATTTATTGCCTTTTGTTAAAATGACATATGAGCCCCTTACACCCTAAGTGGGTCACTTCTTTGGGTCTTCATTTTTATTTTCTATGAAGGCCTTCCTTTATGAAAAAAATTAAAATATTAATGAATATAATTTTTATGTCTTTTCTCCTGTTAATCTGTCTTTTTTTCAGTCTAATTCATAGGCCCCTACCCTAAGAGGGCAGAGGAAAAGATTTTTTCCTCTCTTACACAATCCACCAAGAATAACTGAGAAATAGGGACTAATCTACCCAAGAGGCTAAATTCCTGGGGTTGATGGAGGCTGTTTGTTTTAGGTATAGAGAATATCCGTGGAATGAATTACCTGGCTTTCAGTGAGGTGACCTGGCCACCCTTCCAGGGGGTTTCTCTAATTTTATTTTAAAGAAAAACTTCAATTTCAAAAATACATAAGGGAGGTGTTTGTCTTAATATCATCTGGGAACTGCTCTACATAAATCCTAGGTCATAGACAATCCCCAAGCACATTATTGTTCCTCTTAGAGGGCTTTAAAACAAGATATAAAAGTCACAAATTAAATAAAAGGTAAAATATAAGCGAATGTATTACTAGATCAAGTACACATTTCTAGAGCTGAGAGAAACATTAAAATTTATCTAATCCAAATATTTGAATTTTTGGTTATGAAAACTCTACAACCCAAATTCTCAAAGCTATTGCTTGGGTTAGAATTCTCATATTCAGACCCCACCTAGAGTTTTTCCCTCCATATTATGATTTATAAAAGGTTTTTATTGAAAATGTGGGCCTTCTAAAGTCTTTGAGATTAGAGCTATCAAGAAGAACCTATCATTTCCTTAATTGGTGGTTGATACATAATATAGAAGAGCAC